TAAATAAAGCCATCTAGAAGAAAAGGAAAAAAAGAAACAAGAAAAAAAAGGGGAAAAAAGGAAAAAAAAAAAAAAAAGAGATATGACAGTTTCCAGCATGAGATTGAATACCTGAGTCAGTAGTAAAGTGATAAAATCACCAAAAGGAAAACTGAAGATGACGTAGTTTGAAATCTTCCACTGTTGTACTAGAAAACTTTTTTTAGGAGCAAACCAGATGACTATTGCAAACATTTCAGATGGGTTTCAAATGTGTTTCTGGGGAATGCATTTCAATGTTCAGGAGCAAAATTGAATAAATAAAGGAGGAAGCAGTTAATATAGTGGGGTGAAACATATTTAACTGAGGGGTAAAATGGGTTCTCTAACAGCTTGAGGGTTGCTGCAAGTATTAGCCGATAATGTTAGAGGGATAAGAAAGACTTAAAGAAAATTCTAACAGATCTTTGCATTGCAGCCTGCTACCAAAAAAGAAATGTGTGGAGCAGAAGTGAAAAGTTAGTGATGGAAAAAGGAAGCTCTGTAGTATGTTTTAAAAAATTAATAGAAGGAAGAAGTTAATAGAAATGAGATGAAAGGTGATTTCACTTTGCCAAGCATAAGTTACTAATGCCTAATGGACTGTGTGGCTTGGAGAGCTGCAGAAATGGGTTATTTTTACTTTGTTGTTTTTGGTAGAATTTTCTGAAGCCTGAGCGACTCAGAAGCGAAATCTCCTTTGAAAGCCAGCAGGATTTTTATTCCCAGCAAACCTACCTGCTATTTGAAAATCTCACACTAAGTGCATGTAAATATGCCGTGAAGGAATACCATCGTGTTCAGGATTAAATGGTAAGCTCTGATTATTCACATACTGACAGGAGAGCTTTTTGGTATGAAAATGATAGAAGTCAACATATGGATAGATTACGTTAAAGATAAATGTAAATAAAATAACCAAACAACAAATAAACAAAAAAAAACCCAAGGTGGTATCTTGGTTTCTTTAGCTTGCTCATTTTATGGTGTTTTTTCCTTAGAACACGCCTTTTAAAGTGTGTCTAAGGAAATTAAATTCTTCCCAAGAGCAAAATGGAAGCATTTGTATGAAATCATTATTTCTAACATCCCTTTTCGTAGGAGAAAAGTGCTGAAATCAGCTGGCTATTTCACAAGCGCTCTCTCTTTTTAAGGAAGATATAAATTTACAGGCGAGATCATTTTGATGACAGAGGCCTCCCCACGCAGCATTTTGGACCTCTTCCGGTTGCTAGCCATCCAAAAAAGGTTAGTAGTGTTGTTAACTGGAAACTAAACAGATAGAGGGCTGATGTGATGTGCATGTAGGGTGGGAACGTTCCCTTTAATGAAAATTTTTGTGGCATTAAACATGAACATTTCAAGGCAGAAAAACTGATGTTTTTGTCTCTTCCTTTGGCTTTTTACAAATGAAGACAGATTTCCATTTGCAGTAAGAATACTTGTTTAGGTGCTACCGTGTCAATGGATTCCTACCTTGTTTGATGTTGTTGAATTCCTTTTCAATGGTCTCTTCAGTAGTCGATAGCATGAGGTTCCTCACATAAAGAATTTTTACCGATGACATGGTGTCTTCATCTACCTCGACTTCTGGCTCTGCCCAGTCAACAGCAATTGGGTGTCCCCATAACTGGATCCTTCCTTTAAAGGCATTAGCATCATCAGTGTCAAACATACTTTCGTTCTTTTCACTTCTGCTCAGAGACTACTTTATATGCAGTATGAACGGGCTGCGATATTAGAGCAGTAGAATAGATCAATTCTACAAAAGGAACTGAAATAAACCTTTCTAGTGCAAAGCACTGGCATTTAGTTAATGTATTTCCAACAGTAGATGGTCACACTTTCCATGTGCTCCTGCTAATACCTTAGATGCCCGCAGAAATGCAGTGTCCAGAAAGAAAAGAGAGAAAATATAGCATGATTCACTAATGTCTGCACTGCCTGGAGTGCTCTGTAAAGTGAAATACTTTAATGAACATAATTCCTTTGTAAAAATCCCTGTTGCTTGCAAATGTTTCATTCCCTAGATAGTTGGAAAAAGATCCAGAAGTTCAGGCTGGACAAAGTGAAGTAAGGATTTGTCTATGTGCAAGTATTTGCAGTTGTATGGTCCTGCCAGATGAAGTTGCAGAGGAAGTAGTAGAAGCAAGGGAAAGAAAGGGTAATGAGGCATTTACAGGTGCAAGTGTGGAGGAGAAGCGTATGGGCTCCATGTACCGCGGGTTGAGCCGTTGAAGAGCAGGGAATGAAAAGAGTAAATAAAAAGGTAGTTAAAAAGCAATGCCGTAGTCAGATTATCAGGCAGGCATTCATAATCATTTGCATTTAGTCAATTATCTATTAGGTAATTGATTAGGGAATTATTCCACTGATTTTCAATATGTAATGAACACTGACTGCCGAGAACTTGTCTCAAAGCTGTGCAAATTTCAGCATTGAGAGTAGGATGGAGGGTAAAGCAGAGGTACCTCTATCTAGTGAGCTTTTTCACCTCCTGTCTTCTCCAGATGGCAACGATAACTATGTCTTCCTGTTTTTCTTCCCTATCCCTTCTGCAAATCTTGGGAGGTAGATCTTCCTCCTGCTTCCCTTCAAGAGTAGCTGAACTCTAGTCATCCAGTAATACCTAGATACCTAAATTTCATGTGCTCTCTCCTGCTTTGCATTCACCCAGTGTTATCAGTAGCCAGATTTTTTTCTAGCTATTTTAATTAGCCCAGCAGAGAGTGCTTTGGAGGTGCAGTATGGATGGCTTTCTATCTTACCAGCATGGTAAATGCTAAATGTTTCCTCCGAATAATGAAATAAAATATATCTGCCCCTTGAGCAAGATTCCCTCAGAGCAACAAAGCAGATTTTCACAACAGGTCTTTCTCTGTCTCTCTTCCTTTCCTGCCAGTCTTTATGACATGAAGACTGGGTCCTCCAGAAGCCTGAAGGTATGCTCTGGGATACCTATCTTGGGAGATAAAAAAAGAAAAGAAAAGAAAAGACAGACTTCTAGAAAACATTTCTGGAGAGATCCAAAAAAAGGGATCTCAACTTGGATAACCCAGCCAAGATGGGATGGAAGCCCCAAAAGACAGGAAAATTAGAGGCTGAGGGTAGAATTTGGAAACCTCTTTTCCGATAACAGAAGTGAGAAGTCAAAAAACAAAACGGAAAGGGGCTGCTTTCTGCTAAGAAGGCTTGTGAATGAGCTGTGGTTTGCAGAGCTAGATTGGGTTGATGTTGAGCTTTCAGCAGTGCCCAGTCTGACTTGAGCTGTTAATGAAAAGAAATAGAAAGACGGCAGTTAACGCCAGCCAATTAAAAGGAAAGGCCAGGCACCATTTTCTGCGTAGCCATTTCTCAGTTCAATAGTGGATATAATGACCTGATTTTACTTGTAGCAAGGAACAACTAATCGTGCTGCCTGTACCACCATCGTGCTGAAATTGGGTTACCCTCCATCCCAAAGGCATTCTGTTATTTAAACGGGAGACCGGACAAAGTTGCTGAAAAAGTATCTTCCTTTTTGAGCATTTCTGCCTCTTCTACAAAGCTCCCTTAAAGAGTAGCTAGGTTCAGAGTCAAGGGTGAATCCTGACAATGATATTCAGTTTCACATTCATCCAGTACATCATCTGGAGACACATTCAGTCCTGGCTTGAAACCTCTTTCATGTTCTTCCCTTGTGATTGCAACATCAGAAGACTCTCTGCTCCGATTCAGGCCTTTGAAATTCCCCAAACTGTTTACGGAGTTGTCCTTAAACTGGAAGTCTCTAGCACATTACACACATCTGTTCAGGGCTATGTGTTCTTTCCCATCTGTCTCACTGTCTTTGCTCCGGATTTTCAGTGCGCTGTTCCCTCAAGCCTACTCGTTAGCTGTAGCTCTGCCTGCTCTGTTCCTTCATTCTTGATACGGAAGCCATGAAAAAGTTATGCTGAAGCACAGATTAAAACGAATGTGCTCCTATAATTAGGGAGATGCTAAACTGATGCAGAATGTAGAAGATACAGAATAAATGGAAAAATAGTCAATGTAAAATATCCCACAATGGCTAAGCATACCCAGATGCATATCAGTGTTCAAAATCATGCTTGTTTTTGGCAATAAGAAAAAGGTATTTAAATTACTCGTGATTTTTTTCATCAACTATTATATGGAAAGAGTCAAAGATTGGTAGGACAATGCATAACGAACAAATCTCAAAACAGAAGGTCGACTGAATTCTTGCATCGGCAAGTGAGCTGAGCTCAACAAAGCGATGAGGGTACTGTTGAGCATAAGAAAGCATGAGAAAAATGGTGAAATCATTCCAAATGCACTTAATGGTAAGTGACTCTTTCATCTAATATCTGTTAAACTTCTCCTGCTTTGTAATGGCCCTTTAACGCTGTCCTCCAGTGCTAAATGACATAGACTCATTCTTTACATTGTTTAAACCCTGATGCAATTCCTCATTAGAGGTCTTCTTCCTGCACAGAAAATATCACTTCAGGAAAGTCCTCAGCACATTCTTAAGGCTGAATATGTTCTTAAATGCTTTCCTGAGTGATGCTCTCCAGTAGGCTATATTTTATTTATAACCCAGAATAGCCATAGGATAATGCGTATCCTAGAATAGAGTTGTACAGACACATGCAGCTAGATCGATCTAGCTATATTTTTAATAAATTCTTGTTCCTTAATTAAGTGTGTGGATAATGAGCATGGTGATAAATCAGGACCTGCTGAGAATTGTCCATCCCATGTCCCAGAGCCATGGCATGTACATCAGGCAGCCTGGCGTACTGGGGTCAGTCCTTGCTCCAAGCACGCCATTAGCAACTGAGGGAAAACCCAGCAGTGTTTGCTTCCTTGGGTATGCGGGTCCTCTGGAGACTTCTGTCATACCACAGCACAAGCTATAAGCATGTGACTAGTAAGACGAAGCCATACCTCCCGCCCCAGGTCTCTGTACTAACCTGGCAGCAATTTTCTCCTTGCCATCGCTGCTGCCCGGTGACTTTCATATTCCACAAAAGCAAAACCCCGGTTTTTCGTTTTATCAGCCGCACTAGGGTACACAATGACGTCCACAACTCCGTCCGTGACTTTCTTCATTTCTGCTAAGATTTCCTCCCTTTTCTTTGTTTTGGGGATGCCCCCCACAAACAGACGGCAGTTGTCCACACTGGCACAGACCCCAAGGAGACGTCCATTCCTGAAAAGAAACAGCATTTCTGGTCGTTTGTCCCTCCCTTGTCCCAAAACACAAGTTCCAACACAAGCCCTCCCACTCCAGTGGTATATGTTGCTTGGGACATTCAGGTCATTTTGCTCAATGTAAGGGGCTAAGATCCAACACGAAGGCTGCCACTTGGCCAAATTTGACTACAAAGTCAGGGATCATAGTTGAAATGAGAGACTGGAGATTCGGGAGAAACCAAAGACAAATTTTGCTTTATCTTCCTGGGATTCTCTCCTCTGCTATTTCCAAAAACAGCTGCTACCACACAGCTGTGCCTACCACCCACGAACACAGCAATGACTCATGCGTTGCCGTCAGTGCATGCCAGAATTTGTTGTGTCCACCAGTGACTTGTAGCATCCCAGGCACCAGTGGGACTCATGACTGTGGTTTTGGGGAAAGAAAATCCCTCCATTCCTTCTTATCACGAGGAGAGAACATTTGGGGGCTTACTAATGCCAGCTGTTCTGCAGACCCCAAAGTAAAAATTTCCTTTCACACGCACTTCCCTCACCTCCTTGTAGCCGGAGTACCTCTTGAGGAGGGGTCTTGAGAAGTTAAAAACTTATTTAGAAGGGTCTTTGGAACAAAACAAGTAAGCAGGGGAGGTGGAGATGGCTAAAGCCTGATCTTTAACACCCTCCCGCCTCTGATACGATTCGTATTTCCCAGCCCTCCTCATACGCCCTGTGACATGCTCATCCTTGTGGTTGCTAGGAGAGCTTCCCTAATACACAACCTATCCTTTTTGTGAAAAATGAAAATCTTAAAATTGCCAGAATGGTTCGTTGCCAAATACTTTTAAGCAAAGAAATACACTTATCCCACTTTGAACCGAAAAAAATCTAAACGTGGTTGAAATCAAAACAAAACATATCGATAGACCCATATGTTGTTGATTACTGGTTGTTTTATTCCCAATTTTTAGTTACAAACATGAGGGTTTTTTCCTATTCCTATCCACTGGGAAATGTCACTGATCTGCCATTGCTTTTCATCCTATTTCATCATATTTTGCAATCACACTGTCTTCCAGAACATTTCTACAGTATAACTCACGTGAGGCACAGTGGATAAGAATACATCAACAGAAAACAGCCCAAAGTGGAACATGAAATAAACCATGATGGTTAGGTATCAGTTAATTTGACCCACAGCAAAATATTTTTTCCAATGTTCTGAAATATTTTTTGGTAAGGAAGAAATTTCCTGTAAAAGATATTAAGTCTGATTAAATGATGATTTCTATTGACTGCATTTCCAGAGAAAAAGTCCGATTAGCCTTTGTAGTAAGGAATAAAGCAGTGACTGCACAGAGAGACAGGAAGTGATTTCCTTTTAAATTTTGGGTATCTAAATAACCTTTCTCCAGGTTACAGGGAAAAATATGGCACATATAACAAAATAGATTAATTCATCATATAGTTTAAAACTGGTGTGAAGGTGTTTGCCATGCTTACCTAATTTCATAATTATTGAGCTGCTTTATTGCATTCTTCGCTTCCTGTTTATTAGAGAAGGTTACAAAGGCATAGCCCCTATTGTTTCCATTAAAATCCATCATCATTCTCATTTCATAGATTTTGCCAATCTGGAAATGAAAAGAAAAGTCATTCTAAAGAAAAGGTTTGTCAGCAAGGTGGGAGATGTTTAAACAAGACTGGGTACTTCCTTGACTATATCACATCAGAGCCCTTTGAATATTTCCATATACAAGGTAATCATCCAGAGCCTATTCTACTTTCACACTGCTTTCTGACCCATCTACACAATCAAACGAAACAGAGGCAGCATATGTTGAAGTGATAAGGCAAGCAGATAGCACTTTAGCAAAGAAATATTATGCTTACTAGTAAATAGGAGGACTTCAGCAGCACCAAGATTTCTGATCTCACTGACCTGAAACCACATCAGGACTTGGAGTCAAGATAGTTTCTTGCTGGGGGGTGGGGACTCCTAGGTGGATAAGGGAAGGGGTAAGGAGATGCTACCACTGAACCTAGGGTAGCTTTGTACCAGCTAACTGAGGAAGGAACTAGGAATGGTTTTCCCAGTCTGGGCCAAATCACCTCCTATTCAGCCTGCAATCGTAGCTTTGATCCTCAGTATCCTCTGAAAAATGACTATCAGTCATAATGGCTTACTTTTTCACACAATGGTATAAGTTCATCTTCAAAGAGGTCTCGGGGCAGTTTCCCAATGAAGATCTCACACCCCCTCTCCGGCGGAGGGCCGTCCCAGCCGGGTGGTGGGCCTCCGTATTTCCTTTGCCCATTTTCCTGTTGTGGAAAAAATAAAAGGATGGCTTAAAATATGCAGATTTTAAACGTGATTGTAATCAGCCTCTTGGCAAGGAACCCAGACTTTTGTCCAGCTTGACATGACACATTAGACATGCACCATTTCCAGTGTGCTAAAGGCAAGTGCTCTCCTTCCCCCTAAGGAGCGACTCTTTACAGACTCAAAATAGATAAGGCAGTATGTGTTGGCTGCCCCATTGATGTATCTGTACTGAAAGGCCTCGGCATCCCTTTCAGTAGGACTGGTGATGTACTGGAGGGAGGTTTGATTTGCATCTAGATGAGTTTCACTAAGGAACATGCATCACTGCATTGAACAGGACATTGCATCAGCAACCCAATTGCTACTTCAGATGTCCAAGATGGAGACAGTCAAATACCACCTTGAAAAATGTAGGTGTTCTTGGCTATGGAACCCTTGTGGAATGTGTATTAGTTTTGGAACATGTAATATTGCACTTGCAAAGTGTACAAATTGTCATGATTCTTCATCTAATCATAAGCATTGATGAGCAAAGATATGTCTCTTTTTTTATTAATCGATGGAGAGCTTCCTTCTGTATAGACCAAAGAAAAGACACTGGAAGAATCACGTTTGAAAGCAGAAGGACTATGCAAAAGGAGAAGGCATCTGGACCTCAGGCAGAGCTAATATCGGGGGAAAAACAGGGATGGACGTCACAAGGGAAGAAATTACGAGAGAGGTGTTGGCAGAATGAAAAGTGGAGAGGCAGTGAGAACTGAGAGGAGCTGCCTTGCAGGTCAACCAGGGAGCCTGAGGCATCACTGATGGTACATGGTGCTGGAAGGGAGAACAGGCTTCTCATGGAAAATGATATTTTCGCCAGCAATTGGACTTAGCAAAGAGCCAGCAACACCTGGCACAAGGCCTGGTGAAGACCTGGGCCTGGAGATGGGCATGGAGGAATGGGGCAGGGGAAGAAGTGATGTTGTTGCGCAAGAGCTTGGAAGCGACAGCAGGAGAGGGACGAGCCTGCCTTACACCTCTGGATGTGTAGTGCCACCAGTGAAGGGCAAAGGGTCCAGCTTTTTCGCTGTTTCTTCTCACTGAGTGCATACTTTCTTGCTCAGCAGAGGACACACGAAGGAGAGAGCATGACGTTCAGTGGGATGGAGAAGACAAAACCCCAAGCAAGAAGGTTGTGCCAGAGTCCTGGTTTGCGTAAGATCGTGAGGAGGCACTCAGCACCCAGACAGCCGCCCCAGGGTGTGCAAGTCCCACATCCAGGGCTATGGTGAAGCCCTTTCTCCACCTGTCCAGGATCTGAGAGGGAGCCCCAGAGGTGACAAGGTACAGCAAGAGGAGAAAGAAATAGTCCCTTGGAGGGGAGAGAGGAGGGTCATCAATGGCAAGAGGAGGCCGGGTGAGGGGCAAGAGAGCTCTCACCAGGGACTGTCTGGGCAGTCACCCGTGAGGATGTCTGCTTACCCAGGAGGGCAGGGAGCAGGTCTTGGGCCTGAATAATACCCAGAGATGTGAGAACAAGCCAATAGTTCCACCTTTGCCTACATTTTTGCTAGATGGGTTTCTCTCTCATCTCCTCTTCTATCTTTTCTTGTTTTCTCACATTTTCTCTCATCTTT